TGAGCCCTGGACAAGCCTGTGCCTGATCGCTGGTCTCTGAGCCCTGGACAAGCCTGTTCCTGATCTCTGGTCTCTGAGCCCTGGACAAGCCTGTGTCTGATCGCTGGTCTCTGAGCCCTGGACAGCCTTGTGTCCGATCACTGGTCTCTGAGCGCTGGACAAGCCTGTGCCCGATCGCAGGTCTCTGAGCCCTGGACAAGCCTGTGCCCGATTGCTGGTCTCTGAGCCCTGGACAAGCCTGTGCCCGATCGCTGGTCTCTGAGCCCTGGACAGCCTTGTGTCCGATCGCTGGTCTCTGAGCCTTGGACAAGCCTGTGTCTGATCTCTGGTCTCTGAGACCTGGACAGCCTTGTGTCTGATCTCTGGTCTCTGAGCCCTGGACAAGCCTGTGTCTGATCGCTGGTCTCTGAGCCCAAAATGCCACACGTCATCCCAGCTCACCCCACCAGTATTCAATGGGGCTCAAGCCTAGTGACTAGATCATCCATGGTAACACTGTCGCATTCAAACCATGCAAGAAAGCTGTCGATAAATGAGCAGCACGAGGAAGTGTGTTGTCCTGCTGCAGTGTGGAGGAGGCTAGATGAGTCTGCAGGAAGGGCAGTGAGTGAGGTCACCGTAGGGCCCTGCAGTCAGACTCACGTCAGTCTCTACCAGCAGAGCCCTGTACCCACTAGACTCTCCTGTTGAGACCATCTCATTTGGACCTTTGATTGTCCTGTTCTCCAACAACTGGCAATGATCTCCGAAACTTGGTTCAATGAAGTCTGTCGGAGCAAAAAACCCAGATTCAGCAGAAAAGAAGGGCTAGCTCTGTTATCGACGATGATTCACTCCAGCTCACCAGTGGCACATAGGTGCTGATCCCCTGATAAGCAGAGCACAGATTCCTTTATGTATCTGCCATCCGTGATTGTCTCCTAACCTCACATTCAACAGGTTAAAACCTCACCTCCTGCAGCGGATCAATCCTATTAACATCTGTGCAACCGTCAAAGTCACTAGCACGCACTATGGTCAGTCACGAACGACCAATTCATCAAAACAACACTGAAACAGTCATTCAATACCCGAGATCCATAGGGTTTATTTTTTCTAAGAACACACAAGCACAAATGCAGTGAGCAGTCTCTTTCCATGCTTGGGTGGATATGAAGTGCAGGCTGCCGGACGCTCAGACGAAGCAGCGAAGACACCACCGGGCACAAGGACAAAGTACGGAGACACGCAGATTGACAGACAGAGGCGGCCAAGGACAAGACGACACTGACCGGTCCCGGTCGAAGGAAGGAGTCCGGGGTAGTCCCGCCCCGCAGGTCAGCGTCTGTCTGCTGTCCTCCGGAGAGAGGGAGCGAGGAAGAGAGAGGGAGAGGGAGGGAGCCCCGCCGCGGGACAGAGGAGGGGTGTGCCGCGAGCAGCTCCGGTCATAACTGGGGGAGGGAGGGAGAAAGGTGTGTTTTACGATATGATACGATACGATACAAAAAAAACCACTCATGGTCGGCGTCTGTTACAGCGCCACTCCCATTCTGGGTGTGGCATGGCACATAGCCACCCCCACTGTGGGCGTGTCCTTCACAATGTCATGCTCCCGTGGGCGTGGCTGTTACAAGGTAACACCCCCATGGTGGGTGTGGTTATCACTGGGTAACACCCCTATTAAGGGCATGTCCTATACAGGGTGCCTCCTACAGAGGGCATGTCTGCTACAGTATCACTTCCATCTGTTTGTTCATCCTCAACTGATCGCCTAACAACAAGTGTTAAATCAGAAACAACACCAAACAGAGGCGCTGAGGGGCTTGGAAACTGTCACCTTGATATGAGGGATTTTTGTTTTTTACACACAGGACTGATGGGAAAAAAAAAAGTGAAAGACTCAAACAAGCAAGCAGATCAGTTAAGTCATCAGGCAGATAAAGTGTTTCTCCAGGACCAGGGCTGGGAACCCTGCACACACAGGTATAATAAAACTGATCTGAAAGAGCGAAGGGGGATCACTGTGCTCACACAGTGACTGAGCTGGCTGCGGACCACAGAGGAGCCGAAACGCTTCCGTGAGTGCGAGAGAACAGTAGGAGGGCAGGAGTGGAAAGAAAGACAGGCCACTTTAACTTGATGTCCGATCCAGCGCAGGTTTTCCACATTACAGGCTGAAGCACAAAGGATCAGCGAAGCAGAAAATCAAATCAGCTGTGCTCATACGTTTAATATTATCGCCATCAGTCGGCCTGCCTGATTTTACCCAGTGGAAGTAACAGGCATTAAACTGCAGCATCTGGTGCTGGCTCAGATACTGATGCCTGCAGCTCCCAGTAAGTGCTGTAATGGATCTATTAGCTGTGCAGTGGGAAGCCTGACTGCTAGCCCTAAACAAAGATGGGAAAAACAAAGAGCATGGGCACTTACCACAGTTTTGCTGTGATGATGGCCGCAGTGAGGATGAGGAGAGAAGAGATTGTTACGGTAACGTAGAACTGAGGATCAACTGAGGAAGAGAGATGGGTTAATGTAGACTCCCGGCTCGACTTGACAGCAGCCCCCCCCTAATCATTTACAGAAACTACGCTTCCCACCATCCTCTTGGACGGAGAAGCCACCCACAATGCATCGCTGTTGCCGCGACCCAAGGGGGTGATGGGAATGTAGTTCTCAACACACTAGGTGCAATGCTCCTGTACCTTCCTCCTCCTCGCTCTTGCCTTCGCTCTTCCTCTCCTTTTCCCTCTCCTCCAGAAGCAGCTGCGACTCTGTAGTGGCCGGGATGCCCGTCATCCGGTGACGATGTTGTGACGTCTGGACCTCCGCCGCTTCCTCTATCCCATCTGCCGCCACTCCGGGATGGCGTTGCGGGTCCTGGGGGCCCAGGACGTGGCCCGGGTCTTCCTCCGTCTCGTAGGTGGGGCCCCACAGGACCGCCCACGGCGGGGTGGGCGTGGCCTGGGCGGTGACTGACAGCAACGGGGGAGGAGTCTCGCCCCCCCTCCCACTCTCCCTCCCACCCTTCGTACCTCCCAAACTCTGGTCACACGAGACGGGGCGCGTCGCCGCAGCAACCAGGAGGCAGAGAACGGCCAATCGGATCTGAGCACAGGACAGGGGTAGAGAGACCGAGCTGACAGGAGGACAGTCAGAGCAGAAGGAGTTAACGCAGGGCTTCGCGGACTGGGAGCGATTTAACACCACAGCACTACAATGACATACACCACAAGCACAGCTGTTACAGCCAGAACTAGATCAACACATCCCTACACTGCTAGGAGTCTGCATGGCAGACTGTATAGTCAGTCAGCGTGCCAAATAATCTATCAATCAATCGATCTATCAATCAGGTGGCACACTCCTCCCAGTCAATCTTTCTCACCATCTCTCCATAGCTTCAGGTTTTCATAGAAACGCTGCTTTTCTGATCTTCATCCTGAAAGAGAGGAGAGAGAAGGCAGCGATGAGGTGTAAGTGCTTCTGATGGAGTGGACAGCAGAGAGAGAGAGACACACGGAGACAGCCGAGGTGAAACAGACATGCTCACCGATGGAACAAGCCACTCCGTCCACACACAGCACCGTCAGAAACAGGCAGATCGGAAACCACACACACACATTGCTTACCACCCGGAACCCAGGGCGCACGGAGCAGACGAGGACAGAAGCGGATCTGTTGAACGGAGATCAGAACCGGGGCCGATCGAAAAGGCAGCGGGGGCACCGTCCAAACACGGCAGAAAAAAAAATATCACCTGCGAACATCGGAGGCACACACACACACACGCACACACACGCACGCAAACTCACAGCGCCCACACCCCGACCTGTTAGCGGCGCCTTCCCGGCACACTCTCGCACAAACACCTGTACACGCTACACCGCCGGCGGCAGATACCACACGACGGGCTCGGGTTAGAAAAAAAACCGCCGGAGACTCTGGACGAGACGGACGGGAGGTCGGAGTGAATCCACCAACCTCATACTGCAGAACGGGAGAGTGAGCAGGGGAAGCAGAACTTGCACTGGTTGCCTTGGCGACAGAGACATTGAGATGGAGAGGGAGGGGGTGTTTAGGGGGGGCGGCGAACCCCTGAGCGAGCGGGAGAGAGAGAGAGAGAGAGGCAGCGGGGAGGGAGAGAGATTTAAATGCTAATTGCGCCTTTAATGGGCTTAATAAAACTGATTCCGAGCGCTTAATATACACCAGAAATCAGCCAACGGAAATGGATATACAGCTGAAGAAGACTGAGGAATTAGAACTATGAGAACGGTGAGGTGGGAGGGCGGCTCGAGTGGAGAGATTAAAATGTTATTTTTAGTGAAAAGGGGGATTTATAATAAGGGAGAAAGAGCAAATAAGCACATGTGAATGCAAAAAAAAACAAAACAAAACAAAAAAGACCTGCGGGCGCCCGGAGTTGCACACAAAGCATGTGGACCGGATCGATCACGATCGGGTCGGCTCAGGCAGGGCGGAGCGGCGAGTGAGTAATCTCATTACGGCATGAACACCAGGAGCCAGAATCATGAGAGTTTGCGGGGTTTTGTTTTATTGGATCCACTCTTATTCACACTGAGGAGAATTTGTACAAAGTATAAAGAGACAGATCTGTTCCCCAAACTCTGACAGCCCCGACACACGCCCAGCCTCTTCCTCACCCCCTCCTCTCTCCCTCCAGCGCTGTTCACCCCACTTTCACCCCCCCCACACAAAATAGTAAAGCACAAAACAGAGGGCACAGGAGTAACTACACAGATGTCCATCTGAGACAGAACAGCAAGGGCCACTTTATCCAAAGGGTGGTAGGAGCATGGAACAAGCTGCCCTGCCATGTTGCTGAAGCCGATATCCTGGTTTCAGTCAGTTACCGTATGGACGAGACCCTCAGGTCAATCGGTAATAGCTACTAACTACCAAGCAGATGGGATGGTATACGGATTGTTTGACCCGTGCAGTAATTTTACGCCCTGTCCTCCGTTCCAAGTGCTTTGCCACCACCTCGTTCCGATCAGCCTTCCAAAGTGATTGGTAACTAGAAATCAATAACTTCAGTTCCGTAATTTATCACTCCATCACAGAGCCGGTGGTGGGGGGCTGGATTTGTTTCGGGCAGCGGCCTGGCCACCCGAGCGCAGGGTCCTTCATAGCAGAACACAGTGGGCCCATGAGGTTCCAGGTCCCGTGTCTTTCCCTGCTGCGTCCCGGGAGCTGTACTCTTCTGTGTGACAAAATGACAGAATAATTAGGATCATGACAACCAGAATGGCACCACTGAGCAAAATCTCCCTTTAGCTAACCACAGGGAACAGCGAAGGAACAGATGTGAATGATAACATTTCTAACAACTTGAAGAGGTGGCGGCGCGAGACCCCTGGGTCATTTAGCTCCTCAAAAAGCCAATGAGCTAGAAGCACTGGATGGCCTCCTGTTCTTATCCCTGAGGCTCTGTATCACATTCTGATTGCTTTTCTAAATGGGCTTTTGGACAATGGGTGGGGCGTTGTCAAAGCACAAAACCATTCTGAAAATGAATTTAACAAAACAGACACACGGACCCCTCCAGGACCAGGACTGGACAGCCCTGCTGCAGACACACTGACCCCTGCAGGACCAGGACTGGACAGCCCTGCTGCAGACACACTGACCCCTCCAGGGCCAGGACTGGACAGCCCTGCTGCAGACACACACTGACCCCTCCAGGACTGGACAGCCCTGCTGCAGACACACTGACCCCTCCAGGACCAGG